GAGAGAGAGAGAGAGAGAGAGAGAGAGAGAGAGAGAGAAATGGGTTGGAGACCAGACAACTGGGATGGACTTTGAAACTGTCTTTTCAGTGTCCCCAATGTTGGGGTTGGACAAAGTAAGAATAAGATGGGGATGGGGTTGGAGGATACACATAGGAGATTTTCAGCCTTTCTTCCTTGCCTAAACCAACACTTTTCCAGATCTTGCCAGGAGAGGACAAAGGAAAAGTTGATAGCGTTTCCTCATTTAACTGAGACATTTACAGTCTCCTCACTGTCCTTCCACTTTTCTTCCTCTCCTCCCCTTCCCCTTAGGCAGGAAACTAGCCTAAGCTTAACCAGATGCCTTGGATAGGTTTCTTTTCTTTTTCCAAAAATAAACATCTGTGGCTGCCTTATAGGGCAGACCCCTCAGAACCAAGGTTAGAAAAATGTAGAATGGAAAAGCAATGTTCTATAATGAATAAATTCACAGCTTTCTTCATTTACAGCTTTTTTCAAAGCAAAGCTTCACTCATTTCCTGCATTGGTTTAACTGCAAGTACTTTAAACAATCTGCAGTCTCCAGCAAGTCATGTGACCTATGCAGCACTAAATTTATAGCCCATTTTTATGTAATCTTTACAAACTGGCAAAATGTCCAACAGGACATTTAATAGCTGGCACGTTAAGGGTCTGGAGATGTCTTAGCACAGAAATACGAAGCTACCATCTACTGGTACCATTCTTATTACTCCTCCGCAGTAATCAGTTAACTCTTCTGATCCAAGCAGAAAATGAGTGGCTGCTTTTGAGTTACAGGATTCTCCATTCCTTTGCATTTACTAAGCATTTACTAAGAAGCATACGGTACATACAGCCACATGAGGAATCCTAAAGACTTCCAGGCAGGTTTTATTTGGCCAGGAAATGAACTAAGAAGGGCTTCTGTTTTCATCCATAGAGCCTATAAAGTTCATTTTGATCCCAACTCACTACATCCCTAATGCTCTTAAATAGAAAATTGGCAAGAACGAGAAGCTAAACCATCTAAGAAGTTGAAAATGTTACCTGAAGTTGGGAATCTTGTCTGGGCTCCTTTCAGGCAGAAAGTGTGGCTAATGAGGGCAGAAGACCAAGGGTGCTAGATTTATTCCATCAGGATTGCGGAAGTCAGCCACAGCAGTTGGCTGGAAAATTTGGGTAAGACGGGAAGGCGGGGACAGAAATGTTAAGAGGGGGGTGAGGGTGGAAGGAGGCAGCACACTTGCAGCATTCCTGTCTGCGCAGTCTGTGTGCCAGGATGAAGAGCTGCTGTTTAGTCTCACATGACTCTCTGGAGGCAGACAAAAGACAATGCACATTACTCAAGTTGGGGTACACTTTCTCCTTTAATGGGGGAATGAAGGACACAGCCTCGGTCTTCCTCATCCTCCTTCTTTAAATCTTTTATTATAATACATTGCATCTTTTCATTATGACCCACCTAACACTGAAACGTGTTTTCAGACTTGTGTCTGACCCACACCTCTGGAGTAACAGAATAAACACAAGGCTAGAAGCAAATAACATAAGGGAAGACACAGGCTCCAAAGTTTGTATTTTATGAGGTGGTTGTCGGAAGTTGCCCCTGCTTTTAGGCAGGGGAATAGCCTTCCCAGCCTAATGTGATTTTGCAGAGGGAGGATCTGCTGAGAAAGTCCAGATGAAACTGGTTCTAAAAGTAGCCAAAAACAGTGTTCCTGGTTGCTTAGGACAGCGCCTGAATCAATGGACTGATGGACTCACATGAAGACTCTGCTGCTAAACCCTAAGATGGTAGGATGTCTGATTAAAATCCCCATTCCAGGCAGTCATATGAGCTGCTCCAAATGCTTCCCCAAACTCTACCCATGTGACAAATCATGAGTTTAGCTCAGCCACCCCACCCAACTCCATTTTCTTCCATAAACAGATGTGGGGAGAGATGAAAAGATGGTCACTGGAATAGAAAGGATAATACACAGAATTTAGATTCAGTTTCAAGCTGGATCCCACATATAAACCCTCAAGAACATACATAGGCTTATGCCTCTGGACCTTGAGTTGTTAATGAACCATATATAGCAGTTCTAGAGGGAAACCAGGTCCAGACTTGGAGTTTAAATTTCCCAATCCTGAGCCTAGCACTGTGGTACACGTCTGTAATCCCAGCACTCAGGAGGCTGAGGCAGGTGGATCACTGTGTTTGAGGCCAGCCTGGGCTAACAGTGAGTTCAAGGCCAGGCTGAGCTACATAGTGAGACCCTGTCTCAAAAAACAAAACAACAACAAAAATTCCCAATCCCTAATTCTTTTTAATCCAAAGGACATAATAGGGAGAGAGGTATCCAGATGTGCCCAGTGATTTCAAATCCCAACTCTTCGGCCGTCTCTCTCAAAGGCTTGGGCAACCTCCACCCCCACACAGTGTAGTCAGAATGTCCTTGGCGATCTTACTCAGAATGCGTCAGGATCAGGAGGACAAGTGAGAAGGAAGGGAGCTGAGTGAGCGAAGCCCTATGATGTCTGATTCCTGAAATGTAAGGCTCACACTATGTGTCTGTATGTTTGGAGCTCAATCTATGGATTCCTTTAGTTGTGAATGTCTGCTGTTTATGAGCTGAAAAGGAATAATAATAAAGTCGCAATCGAGATCACACAACACAAGAACTTTTACAAAAGGAAAAAATATTTTGTTTTAAAATCTTTGCTACATGTCATTATTTTTGCCACTGTATTAGCACAGATGCCAGCAATACAGAAATGGCCAACAAAAAAACAAAACAATCAAAAATAAAACCCTGAAGGAAAAACAGAAACAAAACCCCCAGAGCATCTTCTCCCTCCCAGATCCTCCCCCCAAACCCTACAATAACTGTACAATATTATACTCTTGATCACATTTAAAAACAATTGATTAAAAAACAAGGATTCCATCAGAAACTCAACTTTTTGATTTCGTAAATTGTGATATAAATATATACGTATACTGTATGTGTGCACATAGCATAAAAAAATAAATTGTCTCCTTTCCACTCCACTACCTGGCACCAGACTGGAGACAAAAGGAAGAAACCAGTAAGTGACATCCCTCAGCCTCTCCAAGGCCGACTGTGCTCCTCAGTCTCCTATGAATTCACTTAATGTCTTCCAATTAACTCAGTCTTGCACTTACATGCTAGCTGGAGCCGGTTTAAAAAAATTTTAAAGGCTGGTACACATGATTTACCTGAGGAAGGTAAAGGGTGAGTGGTCACCTGTATCCACATTTATATGGCTATAATCACCAAGTGACCCTGCTGGGTGGGAGTCCAGGACCTCACAGCACCCAGAACTTTTACACTTGTGCTCTAAAGCAAAATCCAACCTCAAGACTGGAGCAGGGCAAAGAGGAAAGACCTACTGGCCAGAGGAGGCTGCAATCTGCTTCTCGCTAGAGGACAGATTTTTGAGGATGGGAAGAAGGAGGCTACTTTGCAAGAGGCTTTGTATTTGTTTTACACTCCAGCAGTGAGGATCTTCACTGGGACTGTTAATCCAAGAAGTTGAGTTTCCAGGCAGAAATAACCTCTATACAACACACATCACATGTGATTCTGACAGAAAAATGCAGCATTATCCTTATGGACAAGTCTAAGGTTTCTAAAAGTGTTTCTCTTGCCAGCCTATTTTGGTAATGTTTGCCGATCTTTCCAAGTGAGGTGAGCACCAAAAGCGGGACTGATCCAGCTTTATCACTGAATATGTTTGGTAAGAGGCCAACCATTATCAACAAGACTTTGCCTATAGTTGCACATTGGCTGGGTACAGATATAAGTGCAGCAAAGATATTTATTTAAATACTCTTTGGCTGCAATACTAAGTGGAGAATACTTGGAAGATTTAATTCCTTAGAACTTTGAAGAGCACACGGAAGGACAAAGATAAAATCTGGGACAGATTTGCATAACTCCCTCATAGGGAGAAAGAAACACAGAAATACACAGACACACACACACACACACACACACAGACGCACCTATGCTCACTCTCACGTTTCTTTCCAGAAGAAATGCTCACAGGTAACAGAAAGAACCTATGCTGTCTTCCTAAAGCCCCATAATACCATGTTTCATGGTCCTCAACTGTGAGGATATTTTTCCTTCTCCTCTACTCCGTTCAGAATTTCTTTCCAAAATAGGCCATAGTCTCTAAGGCAAATAGTAGGTGTAGGTTCTTCTAACCTGTCCCTTGACCCTGGCAGAAATCTCCTGGTCAGGAGATGTGAGGACACATTCTACCTCACCTAGCCTCAATTTTCAGAGTGCTAAAGGCCTTGGGGATTCATTTCACTTCTTCTACAAACGTTATTTCAGAGAGGCAAGGGCAGGAGCAAGGAAGGTTCAGCAGGGAGAGAGGGTACACCTGAGGGGTGAGGGAAGGGAAGGGAGAGAGGAACTTTTATTCTGTTTACAAAAGATTTGCTTTTAAAAAACAAACAGTATTTTTTCTCCCCCACCCCTTATCCTCACCCCAATAGTTCTATTCTGAAAAGGAGGGAAACATAGTTAGATCAGGAAATTCTTCATTGTTGTAGCTGCTGCTCTGGTCTCCCAGCATGGACAGCATCTCCTAATGAGAGAAAAAGATTCTATTTTAGTCCCGTATCCTTACATTTAGCAAGTTCTCTCCCAGCACCCCAAGGAGTCCCTGCTGTGCTGAGCCCTCTCAGGTGACTCCTCAGATCACAGCCTTTCCCCAGTTCCTTCTATGTCTTCCTCCTACAGTTCCTACAGCTACCTTCTCTCTCCTCCTCCTACCTGGTATTTTCAAAGGAAGAAAAGTCTGCTTGCCATAATTCATATAACCTGGCATAGATATATATGGACTGCATCATCTTATTTGCTTTCCACCAAAGTCTATTTTGCCTTCTTTCAATTTATGCTTTTCACTATCCCTTCCTTTGTCTAAGCTTACTCTGTTCACTCCTACAGTCCCCTTAGGACTTATATAAATAGGCCTCTGTAACTACCAGTGTGTTCTATTTCATATACTTATTTTTGGTACTGGGGATTGAACCCAGGGCCTTCACACTGAGCTACATCCCTAGCCCTTTTTTATTTTGAGACAGGGTCTCGCTAACTTGTCCAGGCTTGTTTTGAACTTGCAATCGTCCTGCCTCAGGCTTTCAGAGTGCTAGGATTACAGGCCATGGCTTCATATACTTTTTAAAAATTATCTTGCCCATTTTAAACCCAGGGGTACCATGAACTAAGAATATGGATTTCTGTAAATGAGCTAAAATAACTTTCTTCAGCATCTTTCCATGGTGCATCACATCACTACCGTTGCCTGGTCTGGTGAAAGGGCGGGCATCAGACTAAGTTCACACTTCTCAGTTACTGACACTGATCCCCACACATCCCATCTTCTCACACACACCTCCAACCAACAAATACCTGAGTCCAGGCATGCTCTCTTCTCTGTCTCTCCTCTGATCCACTCTCTCCTAGTTTCTATGTTCTGAAGTCTTTACCCACTCACCTGGAAGACCTCAGGCTGGCTAGGTTGTTGTGCTGATGGCTGCTGAACATGTTGCTCACTAGAACTCGACCGATGATGAGGCTGTTGGCCCTGCCACTGTGGCCAGACACCCACGCCCTCTGCTGTCCGTGTCTGGAATTGTCCTGCAGTCTGTCCAGCCTCAGGAGCTAGAAACACAGCAATGCACATCCTAAGTCTGTTAACCCTATTGGAGAGGAGAAAGGAGTGCATAGCTAGGTACCAGCCACTTCTGCCCTTCCTATGCTGATCAGTGCCACTTCTGTTTCAGACCCCAGTCCCAAATCAACTTTTCTTCTCTAGACAGTGTTCCCAAAGAGTTCTTTGCTCATTTGGACTGTTAAATATCATGCGTTGTGTAAATTTTATAGTAAAAAAAATTATAAATATTACAACATTTTACATATTTACAACACATTTACAATATTTTGTTATATGTGCCTAAGTATTTTTCAAGTGGGTAGGTTTTAAACTTTAAACAGATGTCACCTTGCCTTTCCCTATGATTAGGTCAGTGTTCCAAGGACACAGGCAAATCATTTCAACTACAAAATCCTTTCTCTTTAGTGGAATAGGGCTAGGAGTGTAGTTCAGTGGCAGAGAACTGGCACAGTGTGTGTATGAAGCCCTAGGTTCAATCCCCAGTACCAAAAAGAAAAGTGCTTTCTCTTTAGAGGTGTAACTTTTGTATGATTCTCGTTCTGGTCTGAACTTACCAAAGCTGGATCCACGACTGGTGAGGGCAGGGTAGGCAGCGGCACTGGGGGATGCAGTGGGTGCAGTAGGAAGAGACAGGGAGCTGAAGGAGGACGGAGTCTGAAAGTTGCCTATACCAAACTGCGAAGAACGAGTCTTAGCTGCAGCCTGTGTAGCAACCTGCTAAAAAGAGAAGGGACAGCAGGCAACAAACAGAACACTAACATTACTGCACAGACCATGGGTATGAGCCAACGTTAGCAGTCACTGTGCTCTGATTCCAGCTCATCACTATTTCTTTTCTTTTTTTTTTTTTTGGTACCAGGGATTGAACTCAGGACCTTGCACTTGCCGGGCAGGTGCAGCACCACTGAGCTACATCCCCGGCCCTCATAACTATTTCTAATTGTATCATTTCTTTTGATTAACTGTCAATCTCTCTTGACACTATTTTTTAGGTAGGTGAGATAAAAGGACAAAGAACAAGGGTAAGCTGTGAGAATTAAATGAAAGCACTTTATAAACTAAGGTTATATAAAACTAGAGGCATTAATAATAGTAGAGTATTATAGAGAAATACTCTGCACTCTTAATATTATTATTTGAAGTCCTGGTGATTGAATCCAGGGACCTTTGAACTGAGCAAACTCATCTCTTTTTCTATTTTGAGACAAGGTCTTGCTAAGTCATCCAAGCTGAGCTTAAACTTGCTATCCTCCTGCCTTGCTCCCAGATTGTTCCACCATGCTTGGCCCTTTGTATCCTTTTATTATTTAGTGCGTTCTGCATGCTTTTGTTCCTAATGTCTTTTTTTAAATATACTTCTTCTCACCAGAAAAGTAATGTACTTGTATTGTGAAATATTTGGAAAAAGGAAAAGAAAATAAGAATCATTCAGAATTCCATTACCAGAGACCTATGGTTAACATTTCTTTTTTTGTACCGGGATCAAACTCGGGACCTTGCGTTTGCGAGATAGGCAGCGGAACCACTGAGCTAAATCCCCGGCCCTATGATTAACATTTTAAAATAATTAATTCAAGTTTTATTTCCCTGTTTTTTTAAAAATATGTTAAAAGTCTGTCAAGAGAAACTCCTCTTTAGCCTGCGTACTCATTTTTCATAGTTGCAGAACATAGATCAGTGACAAATTTCTTCAATCCACAGAAATTCTTTACTCCAAAAATAGTTTCCACTCATGAAAGCAGCCATCTTCACCTCCTCAAAATCTTTCATGCAGCCATGGTTTGTGCAGACATCCATGAATACCATTTTTCTTGATTCTGCCACAGCAAACTTACAGACAGCGTCAACCCTCACAGAGACTAATAAAGCAGCCATTAATAATAAGGAATCACAGAGGTGGGCTGTCTTGGTTTCATTAAAGCACAGAAACCACTGTAGTGCTGGTCCTCAAGAGCAGTGTCCTTCCTGGCTGATGGAGAGGTGGACAGCCTTCCTGTGCATTTTTACACAACTGAGATCGTAATGCATAATGATAATTTTAGAGCCTGCTTTTGTTTCTGATTTTTCACGTTAATAAAATATTATTTATGCAGTGATGTATTAAATAATATTTGTTTTAGGCTTTGCATATTTACTATGTATCATACATGTGAATATAAAGATTTTTCCTTTTTTTGAAATACATTATCACTATATGTAACTAGTAATTTTCTCTTTTGTTCCTATGTTAGGCAATTCTAATCAAAGAGGAAACTTCTTAAAATTTACTCCAAGACAAATCTAAGAATCAAATCTCAAGTGTTCTAAATGAGCAATTCTAACTAAAGGCTATTATGTGACAAACATGGACTCTAATGAGATTTTTGGATTATCTTGGTTATCTAGCTGCTCTCAAAAAACCAAAAATTAGAAGTTGGAGGATGAAGATTAACCACTTAAGTCAGGTGTGGTGGTGCACACCTGTAATCCCAGTACCCTGGGAGGCTGAGGCAGGATGATCACCATGAGTTCAAGGCCAGCCTGGGGTACACAGTGAATTTGACAGCCTGAACTACACAGCGAGACCCTGCCTCAAAAAACCAAGCACTGGGGATTTAGCTCAGTGGTTCCACCACCTGGCTTGTAAGCGCAAGGTCCCAAGTTCAATCCCCAGAACAAAAAAAAAAAATCAACCAACCAACCGACCAACCAACCAACCAAACAAAACCACTTAACACTGGACCCCAAGCATCACTCAGGCAGCGAATTTTTTTACAAACTGACTTTCCTGAGCATTGCTCTGGCAGGTGTCATTTCAACCAGTTGATCCTTGTATTGAATAAATTTGATAAACTATCATTTTTATAGTAATAATTGGTTTATAATATAACAATATTATCTTATAAAAATTAACAGAAAAAACATGCAATTTTTGTCATCCTGTATTTAAATAACTGGACTGGTAACTGGTTAAGAACAAGTTATCTAAGAAAGACAATAATCATACATATGGAAAGAAAGCCAAACCAAGAAAACAAAAGTAATACGTAGGGATGAGACAGATGAGAAGCTTTACCTGGGCAGAGAAGCCTGAGCGGGTACTAGGGGTCCAGGTTGGGGCTGCTCCCTGGGAAGGGTTGGGGTGGCGGGAAATCTGGGCCAGCATCTGTCCTGCAGAAGATGATGGCTGGACAATGGTTACAGGAGGGGCCAGACCACTATTCCTAAGAGTGAACAAATGGTGAATAAAGGATTAAAGGGATGGATTCATCACAGAATCTAGGAATCAAAGGACAATCTAATACTACTCCTAGATCCCTTGACTTCCTTGGATTTAAGGAAAACTTGGTAAAAGAATTTGGAAAAAACAAGACTAACAGCCACACACTGACCAGGACACACAAGGGTGGAACCTAGAACATTGTAATAGGACAGGTGCAAAGAAATGGGTAGAGGGCCAGGGATGGAGCTCAGTGGCACCATGCTTGCCTGCCAAGCAAAACGTCCTGAGTTCAATTTCCAGTACTGAAAAAAAAAAAAAAGAAAGAAAGAAATAGGTAGGGAAAAAAAGCAGCTCCTCTGCTCACTCTAGGCCCTACAAGCTCTACTGCTTTGCCTGAAATAACCAGAGAAAGCAAGAGAAGAATGATTAGCAATGGAATCCCTCGAGGCCCTAAAAAGCAGCACACATATATGGGGCTCACCTGAAATTCTCGGCCGGCCGGGGGTTAGGAGGGAATGAGCTGCCCTGGGAGAACAGCTGTTGGGTGGCAGGGACAGTGCTGGAGGAGATGCCTTTACTCTGATCTGCAGACCAAAAGGAGTGGGGGGAGGGGCAGTCAAGGGGCTGCAGTACACAGTTCAGCAAGTTCCTACTTACTCATGAAGTGGTCTATGTTGAAATGGAAATATGTTGGAAGATTACTGATTAGCCAGTAACAGGCTCACAAGTAAGAATTTAAGAATGAGAATTTTAAAAAGGATTGAGGAAGACTCATACCCGCACTGATGTTAGAATAGATTTCTGAAAATCTTGGATCTCTATCCTGGGCAAACAGAACATCTGACTTTTCAAGGGTCTTGCCATGTTCTGGCCCTGTAGATGCCACAGGCTGAACAGAAACCTAAGGAATAAAATGATGAAAATAATCATTAAAGGTTTAACATAATTCAGTAACCCCAAAATTCACATAAAATATACACACACTCTGACTGGCACTACAGGACATTTTTAAAGGAAATGCTCACTGTCCTCTTCAAAGACGATACACCCTCACCTGGGAATGATTGTAGCTGGCCAATCCATCTCTTCCTGGTACCATGTCCAGTTCTGTTTGCTGTTGCTGCTGCCTACATGATAATCAGTGAGGAGAAAAACAGGAAAAAAGATTTTAAGAATCAGGTGAAAGGGCCTTTTAAAAAAAAAACTAACAAAAAATGGGACTGCAGATGGCCACCCCTTGGCGGAGTGACTACTCAGTAGATGATTACTTCACCATTTCTTACCTGGGTGCCAGCTGCCCTGAGCCCATCTCTAGGGGTAAATTAGCTGTGGGACCTGGCTGAGACCTCTGGACGGTGTTAGACAGGGTAGACCGTGGTTCCTGGCTAGAGTTCCTGTGAAAATAAGGTAAGACAAGTGCAGAGAAGGAAAAAAAACCCCAAAAAGTTTTGACTCTGTACACAAAGCTCTACACATTTACGTGTAGGTGAGATAATCACTAATCTTCTTTAAAGTCTAATCCCATATGTACCAACTCCTCATGACGAATCTATTCTGTATTACAAACATGTACTAATCAAAAAATAAAGTAATTCCATAATTCAGATTATCGACAACATGGTACAAATACAAACTAGGTCCCAAGCACAAACAAGGGTCCTACCTGTTTGGGTTGTAACTCCTAGGTATTCAATACCTAGATGTTTTCTTTAAAACCATAAGTAAAAACTTCAAAGCAAAGATACTGAAATGTTATCAAAGACTATTTGGAATATGAGAATTTTTCTCTTTCTCTCTATACTTTTCAATACTCTCCAAATTAAAAAAAAAAATTAAGCCAGGAGTGGTGACACATGCCTGTAATCTCAGCTACTTGGGAGCCTGAGACAGGAGGATTGCAAATCAAGGGCATGTCAAACAACTCAGCAAGACCCTGTCTCAAAAGAAGGGGGCCGAGGATTTAGCTCAGTGGTTCCACCACCTGCCTTGCAAGCGCAAGGACCCAAGTTTAATCCCCGGTACCAAAAAAAAGAAAAAGGGCTGGAGAATGTAGCTCAGTAGTAGTTTTCTAGCATGTGCAAAGGCTTGGGTTCAATCTCCAATACCACACACACACACACACACACACACACACACACACACACACACAAATCATGGTGGGAAAATAATATATAAAAGAGAAGAAACAATTATTACCAGAACCTTAAATCCTCAAAAGGACTTACATTTTTCAAAATTTGGAGCTGTGGAATGTAGCTCAGTGATAGGGTGTTTGCCTGAAATGCATGAGACCCTGTGTCTGATCCCAAGCACTACCAAAATAAAAGTTTAGAAAAACATTTTCAAAATTTAAATAAAATGGGAACACAAAGTGATGGCACTTGCTTGTAACCCTAGACACTCAGGAGGACTACGAGTTTGAGACTATCCTGAGCAACATAGTGAGACCCTGTCTCAAAATAAAATTTAAAAAGGCCAGGGATATAGTTACGTGGGTAGAGCACTTGTCTAGCACGTGTAAGGCCTTGTTTCAAACTTCAGTACCACAAACAATAATGATTAAGATATATATTTGAGTCCTAAATTAATAAAAATTTCTAACTCAGTTTACTGTGCTTTATTAAGTTAGCAAAGAACTAAACTTTATGGTCCCTAAAGGTTCAATGGGATATATTATTCTCCCTGGTATCATTATTCATAACCTGACCTTCAAGATGTAGATTCAAAGCCAATTCTACAGAAGTGGCCTAAATGGTGTGAAGAGGTAACCTGACAACTGACAACCACTAATGGCTTGTGTCTGGATGTTCCCCCAAAGCCTCATGCAGTCATAGGTGGGGCTTTTCAGAGGTGGCTGGATCTAGGGTGTGTGATGCTGGGGTTAAGGGCGACCCACCCTGGGTGTTAGTGGCACCACTGAAAGGGTGGGTACCCTGGAGCAAGTATGAAGGCAGGCATGGTTGCTGCTGCTCACTGCTTCTTCACTGCCGCTTTGCTGCCTTCTGCCTACCCTGCTTTCCCATGGACAGTTTCTCCCTGTGATGCCCCTCTGCCAGGCCACACTGCCTTGAAGCCAGCTGACTATAGACTGAAACCTCTGCAAACTGTGAGCTTATCAAATAAACCTTTCCTCCTTCAACTTGTGGGTGTTGGGTATTTTGTCTCAGCAACAGGAAAAGTAACTAAGACAGATTTGTACCAGAGAAATGGAGTTGTTGTGTGACTGTACCTGACCATGCGGTTCAAAAGCCTTTGGAACAGACTTGGGGGAAAAGTTTGGAAAAGTCTGGAGGTGCTGGCTGAACAAGCAGCCTTAAAATGCTTTAAGCTGTACTTAATGAGAGATTCTGATCAGAGCTTAGAAGACCAGAATGCTGATAGAAATGCAAGGTGGAACCTTTGAGACTGTGAGACAAAATAAAATTTTCCTCTTTGTTTTTCCCAAGTTATTTGGCCATGGCAATAGAAAGCTAACATGCCAGGTAGCCCAGCAATTCTACTCCTGGGTATATACTAAGAGAAATAAAAGCAGATTTCCACACAAAAACTACTACAGAAATGTTCACAGCAGCAGCATTCAAAACGTGTTACAGGCACACAATGGAGTATTATTTGGCAGTAAGAAGAAATCAAGGATTGATACATGCTATAACAGGAATGACTCTTAAAACACTATACTTACACGAATGTCACAAAAGAGGCATATTCTATGATTCTACTTACATTAAACATCTAGAAAAGGCAAATTTATAGAGGCAGTACATTAGAGGTAGTTATAGGGCTTTGAAAGAAATGGGGAGAGTGGAGAATGATGTTACTAGGTATCGCATTTCTTTCTTTCTTTTTTTTTTTTGGTACCGGGGAGCAAATTCAGGACTTTGCGCTTGCAAGGCAGGAGGTGGAACCACTGAGCTAAATCCCCGGACTTTCTTTGGTTTTTTTGAGACAGGGTCTCGCTATGTAGTTCAGGCTAGTCTTGAACTATGTAGCCCAGGCTGGTCTCAAACTTGAGGCAATCCTCCTGCCTCAGCCTCCTAAGTGCCGGGGTTACAGCCATGTGGCACCATCCCCAGCTATCACATTTCCTTTTTTTTTTTAATTTTATTTTACCAGTACATTTTAGGTATACAATATAATGACATCAATCATTGGAAATATGCACCTTTACATAATCTCTCTTGTTTTTTTTAATATAAAACTATTTACTGACCACTGTACACCATTATTTACAATAAAGTAAACAATATACAGTAGGATAACATTCTGACTACTACAAAGTTATTTTTCTGGCTTCTGCTGAAACAGTAACCCGAATAACTGAAGATTGAGCCTACCTCGTAAGGAACAAGTTGGGGTCAAGAAAAACATGCAGGTCAATAATTTAGATTATAAGTTTGTTCACTCATTTATTCTAGCAGGTCCTAAATTGTGACCACCTCTAGGCACTCAGTAGGTTTCCATGAGCCAAGTCTTAGACATCCATGAATCCTGACTTTGAATACAGATTTCAATTTGTTGTAAGGGAATAGGTCATGAGCAATCTTTAATGTTCCCTTAACAAGTCTTCCTTAGCTAATTCAAACAAACCAGGCTGACTACTTTTACCTTACTTGGGTAGGGAAGTTGTTGGTAGTGATACAATTTTTTTTCAGAAATTTTGCAAGCAAACGGCTGTATTTTTGTAACTAAATACACAGATATGGATTCTAATATGGCTGCTTTGAAAATACCCACTTTAAGCTGTCCATTAACCACAGAATCATCTATTTAACTTGAAAAGTTATGGCTTCAGGAAAACTTTCAATTTAACTGTGATTTATTTCTTAGGTTGCTCAATGACAGCATCTCAAACATGAGCTTATCACCCATAGTTTTTGTTTTGGTGAATGTTTAAAAACAAAACAAAAACCATTTACATTAAGTATTTTATTTATACACACACAAACAAA